ATGACCGGTGAAAATCTCGCCCCGCGATCGAGATCCGTTATCGGGAGACAGCCAGAGCGGCACTGATTCACGCGGCGCGGCCGAGTGCTGTCACTTCCGACTATTTTTCACGGAGTTACGAATCGCGCGTCGCGCGGCCTCTCGACGCGTGACGGATACAGAAAATTGCGCGTCGGCCCGAACTCGCGCGCGATCGGAAGAAAGTATCGCAAGAAGCCGGACGGGTTTTGCGCGAGCACGTCCCGGAGTGCCAGGCCTGACGTTCTTGTAACGTCAAGTTACGGCGCTTTCTATTGTGCGCTTCGTTTCCCCGCGAATCTCCGTCATCCTGTTTCCGCGGGTGACATTTGAGAATGACAGCATAGACACCTGCGTATACGTAATCTCTTATTCCCGGGACCGGGCACGAGAGTTTTCCCGAGCAGTCGTCGCGGGAGACCGCTCCTTTGCAAACAACGCATACGTTAATACAAAGCGCTCGTTACCAACGAAAGTGCTGAGCAAAGGGCACGTAAGAACGTCGTAAAATATCTCCGCCGGCCTTACCTTTAGTCACACAGCTTTAAAACAAACAAATGAAACATAAATAACAACGTTTCTTTTCATTTCGCCAGAGGGGACTTTGGAAATACCAGAAATGTGGAAACGCTTGCGAGAAAGCTCCTTGAGAATGCCACCGCGCAATATGCGAGGCAAACATCGGTTTCGCGTACTGGCGTATCTCTTTTACCATATACATATATTTATGTCTGATATGCATCGGACAATGCTCTTCGAGGAATGCATCTACCATTCCGCGTGTACGAGCTGACATTTACATACCGGGAGAAAGAGAGAGAGAGAGAGGAGAAGGGAAACATCTCGCTCTCCCGAGAGAAATTCATATACGGGCTACGCATAGCAGGCGTCTTGCTCGCGAGCTATACGATCGATGAAGTTCGCCTCACCGACGTTACATTATTCGCTCGTATTAATCCTTCGATTCACGACGCGAGCCGCCGTGATACTCCAAGTGCCGCCGTGCGGATATCGACCGATATCGGCGAGAAAGCGTATGCCTCGCGGAGAAACATTTCGCACCGTCGGAGAAATGTCCCTCCCTCCTGGACTGGTGAAATACGGGTCCGGTGGGTTTAATCGATTCGGCACATTAGCGGTACACGGTTCCGCCGCTACTAAGTCAGCCGAGCGAGGCGAACGCTCGCGCGATTTTCGTGCGATCGTAGAAACTCTGTCGCGCGCCTATTGCGGCCCCGAAGGGACGAGTCCCCGCCGGTCTCCACGGTGCGCGATTCCGCGGCGATCGCGGAAAATCGACCGCCGTCTACCCGGTATACGTGTGGCCGAGGAGATACGGTTTAGAAAGGCAAGTGATTCTCCCCGGCAAAAGCGACCCGGCCACGCCGTTCACTTTTCACCGAAGGAACCAATTCCTCCGGCCGCACTCCTCGGACTCGCCTCGGCTCTTTTGTCTACCCGAGAGAGCCTTTACTTGTTGAAACAAAAACTCAATTTTTCATGAGCTGTTTCGAGCGTTTCTATATTTAAACTCTTGCGGCATTTCCTGCGGACGGTTGTAGATGCAACAATGTTAAAATTCAGACTGTCCACTTTAGGACTGAGGTAACTGAAGGCGCTACTTTTCATTCTTGTCGATTTCAATTCTCCGTTGATGTTTAAAATTCTATAATATTTTTTTATCTTTCATTTTACGAATGTGAATGAACAAATTTTTAATTTAATAGAGAATGTTGATTAATATTTTCTGAATATACCATAATACCCTGTCCTGATCCTAAATTATTAAAATATCTAGTAATTTCTGGTGATTTCGATTATTAAAATTGGACTAAATCTGAATTTATAGAAAATATTTTTCGTGAAATATGTATACCGTTAAAAACACACATATATAATAATTGTGTATTAAATAAAAAAATGTATATATGTATACAGGGTGAGTCTTTCCATATCCGACAAAATTTTTGAGAAGGTAGAACGGATCGAGATGAATGGAAAAGTCCTGTACCATTTTGCAATTTTCGTAATAGTTAACAAGTAATTAATTATTAAAAATCGTTGTCTTAGGCCGGCCTACCGCCCAATTCGAGCGCGTGGCGAGATGTGCGCATAGCAATATCGATCGCCGGGCGGTCACATCTTGCCACGCGCTCGAATTGGGCGGTAGGCCGGCCT